CCACTCCTTTTCCTGTATTGCAAACACTGAAATCCTGTGAGTCAAGCTAAAGCAGTAAAAACCCAAGCAATGGGTTTTTGCTGCAGTTAAAGCAGTAAAACCCCAAGCAATGGCAATTCAACAAAGGCAGTATCAGACCAGCACTCTGTACACTGCATTTCTGCAACAGTAACATCTGCCTTGAAAATAATTTTTTCTCCTTTTGTTTCATGTGAGATAACAACAAGTTCAGAAATCACTGTGGACCACATCCAGCGGCAAAATCCAACCGTGAATGCATCTGTCTAAAGGCATTTCACTCTCACCATCCACAAGAAAAAAGGATAATTCAATAGGAAGTAAAGCCTCCACTTTTTTTGAGTGCTCAACCAACCAAAACACGAGGGCCTGACTCATTAAAAAAAAAAACAACTATGGTGGTTCACCACTACAGCCGATGCTCATCTCACTTTGCTTGCCAATTTAAGTCAAGTTACACAGGAACCACTCCTCCAAGACAAAACTTCTCTCTGCAGTACTTCATGACCAGAGTCCCATTTCATGGAACCACTGGGTAGTGGTGTATTGGCAGCATGGAACCGTCACCTACAGCCCTATGACCTGTGAAATATTGGCCATGCAATAATCCAGCTGTGAGGGTTTCAACTGACGAGATACCTTTTGCCCCCTTCTGCACCATATTCCCACCAGACACTTTTGGACAAGATCATCTGTATCCTCTTTCCCAGCCTTAGCTGACCTAGAGGAGGTCATACATGTCATATGTTGTGGTTAGGAATGGTATTCCCAAATTCAGTGTTCCCACTATAAAACCCCAGACCACATGCCGCTTGCTCACTTCCCCCCACCTCCCGCTGTGGCAGGATGAAGAGAAAAAATGAAACCACAAAAAGGTAAAGATCGCATGATAAGAACAATTTAGCAAAACAGCAGTGAAATAAGAAAAGAAACAGTAACAACATACAATACTAAAACCAGAGTGTACAAGTTAGACAAACGATTCACAGGTGAGTGGTCCCCATGTGCCACCCATCCTCCACCCTCAGTGGTTCCCCCTGCACACGAGTGAGGCAATACCCAATAACCCCGGCTGTGCCCATCCTACCTGATGCTAACTTTTACTCTCTCCTGGCTGGAACACGATGTTCCACCATATCCTCACCACTGATGCTTCAAGAAACAAACTGACATCTTCTTTGGGTTCTCTGCTATGAGTGTCCTCTTCAGTAAGATACTGAACCACAGCCCAGAAAATCACAGAATCATTTAATTGTTTATGCTGGGAAAGACCCTTAAGATAATCAAGTCCAACCATAAATGTAACACTGCTAAATGAGCCACTAATCCATGTCCCCCACTAAAACATGCCTCTAAACACCTACACACTACCCACCACTGCTTTTCTGCTCCTTTCTTTACCACATCTAAAACCTGTAGGAAGGTCCACTACTTGCTCCAACTGTACCAGATGGCAAAACACAGCAATATAATCTTAGCACAGCATTCAGATGAAATACAGAATTGCATCATAGTGTTAACATCTTGTTCTCCCACTAACACTCCTATCTCACCATCACTGCTTACAAAACAGCAGAGATTATGTCATTGTCATATTTCTCATACCTGAAACATCACTTTCCCCATACCTTCTCATTCTCCTCACTTTCCCACTCTCCTTTGTTTCTCATACTAATATCAGAAATGGAGATTCCCATAACTAGAGACACAATTCCTGGGTTTCCTTTTCCAAAAATATCAGAAAACTATCCTATGTATACACACACAAGTGCATACATTTGTCTGTATATATGTTAATTTTTTTAATTCTTATGCTTTAGTCCAGAATTAAGGATTCTGTATTAATCCTGACGTGAAGGTGACAGGAGTTCACACAATATTAAAAATAATGAGATAAAACACAGGGGATTTTGGACACAGAGAGTCTTCAGTAACAGAAATTACTGAAAGGTGCAACATCAGCTCTTTTAAACCCAAAAGGTTAAATTTGAAGCATCTTTTTTTTTTTTTTTTTTTGAGAGAATTATTTTGAAAAATTCATTGTTAAGGAGAGCACTGTATTTTATGGTCATAGCTCTTCAGCTAGATTTCTTAAATTAAGCTCATTTCCATGCCCCCATCCTTCCACCCCCATAAACATCAGCTTGTTATTTAAAAAATGCACAGTGAATAAGAAAGAGGCAATTAAGGATGAGGTACAGTAGAAATTGACTGTGACAGGTGTTCAAAGAATGAATCAGTACATTACTTCCCTGTTCTTTTACTCTTCTTTAAGCACCTGCTTTTGACTTCTTTTCTGATTTCCCCCTGATGCCTGACCCTAAGAAAACCTCTGAGACCTCCTTAGAAAGTGAGAAGCCACAGGAAAATTTTAAAAGCTACAAAAACCCCAGGTGTGTCCAGTGACTCCTACCTGGCTTTGGTTCACCTTCACACTCCAGTGCTACTGAAAGCATCTCCTTTGTTGAGAACTATAGCATTCAACTTTCTCATTATCATTAATAGCTACCTTTAGACAATATTGGTTTTCCCATTAAACTCAGAAAAATCACAAGTTACTTGCTGGCAATTGGTTCTTCCCCCAGGCAGGACACAGCCCAGCTGCAGGAGGGAACCAGTGCTTGTCAGGAGTATCTGTGATGTCTGCAGTAAGCCATTCCTCAACCTTGTAAGACCTGCAGATTGAATTAGATCTGCCAGAATTTTCTACCAATTTTCTATTAACATTACATTGTTCCTAACAGCGTAACTGCTGTGAATGTGTATAATAATATATATATATATATATATATATATATATATATATATATATATATATAACTTTACTCTGTCTTTTGCAATGCATACTTTGGGACTGATACATTAAAACCAAAAAAGACCACAATATCACTAATGTAGGGAAAGGAATGGTCAGGATATCTGAGTGGAAAACAAAATACAGACTCCTAGACAAAGTAATTCTGGATTAACATACTAAATAGGATTCTTTCCCTCTTTGTGAAATACAGAATTATTCAGAAGGGTAGCCAATGATCACAGTAGGGTTAACAGTGAATCCAGACCAGGTTGCTCAGGGCTTTACCCAGTTGAGTCTTGAAAGCCTCCAAGTATGGAAATTCATAACCCCATAAGCAACCAGCTGCACTGCTTAATCACCCTGACACTGAAAATGCTTTCCTCATATAACATTTATATTCATTCATACTGCATAAAGCTGAAATCTCCTATTTCAATTTGTCAGTGTCTTTTCTTCTCCCACTATGCACTGCTGTAAAGAACCTGACTTCACCTCCCTGTGAGTGTTGGATAGCTCATGTTAGGTTCCTCCAATGCTATATTTTCTTCATGCTGAACAAGCTCTGCTATCTTGGCCTCTCTTTGCAGGACCAGTGCTCCAAGCCCTTGACCACTGAACTCATCTAAGTTCACTGACATCTGAACAGATCACTGCAGTAAAGGAGAATGATCACTTCCCTCAGCCTTCAGGCTGCTGTCCCATTGATAAAGTCCTGTCTGTTGCTATCCTTCATTGCTTTGTGATGATCAAGGATGTAGTGCATTCTTGGCTTCTTATTAAATTTTGTCTTGTTTGCTGGCCCTGTCAGCACAGGTGCCAAGTAACACCAAACAGCTGAATGAACAAGTAGAAAAACTTTCTGCCCAATTTTGCAGCCTATCCTCGCTTAATACGAATGGAAGATCAACTGTCCTGTCAGGATAGCTACTTCCTCACATCATGTACAATCATACAAAGAACCTGTTAGGATAGCAGAAGTGCAATGACATGAGCCACCCACAGTCTCAGGCTTTTTATCTATCTGAGCTGTAGATAACAAAGCATCCAAGCAAAGTCACCAGCTCCCTCTCTTCTCTACTGCTCTACTTATTTTACTTTTCGCATAAGAAATTGTTTATCCCAGAAAATACTATGGGGATGTGGGATTTTCTTGGTCATTTTCAATGCAAAGATGTGGCCAGACACAGCATTTTACAATTACAGTTTACTAGCCTAAGTGTACAATTGTAAGCAGGGACACAAATTAAAGGGAGCTGCAAGAAGGAGCTCTGTTTTAATGGGAAAACAGGGGTTTCCACATAATATGTGACAAGTCAATAATGCATCATGAAACACAAGATATTTTTAGTTCTCATTCAGTTTATGAGCATAATATCAAACCTCCTCTATCTAACATGCCAACACAGTAATGAGACTAAGACAAAAAAATGAGTGACTGTACTTCATCCAATATGTTCAGGTATCAATATACTGCTTGTTTCTTTGTTTGAATAAAGAATGTATCAGTAATTTTATTCATTAAAGTTTAAAGAGGGAAAAGTATTAGGATTTTATCCAGCATACACAGAAAAGGCTTCAATTTTTAAGAGGACTGTAGAAGTGGGAATTTAAGTTGGGCCTCTAAATCTTAAATCTCTGAGTCACATATGAATGCACTGCCAACCCCATGGAACCCAGAATCTGCCTCAAATTTTTGCTGGCAAATACAGATGCTTATGAGTGTGTAGCTTCTCTGCTATGGTTACCTGAAGAAAACAGCCCTTAAGAGCCATAAGAAAACAGTAAGTACACACACCATAGTCTATTTCTTTACCCACCATTGCTGTGTCTAAACATTTCAAAAGCATGCCTCTATGAACACTTCACAGGGAAACTTTTGAACGCTCTACGAATACTTCTATATTTTTTTATATTCAAGGAAAACACATTCACCTCCTGTGAAAAGGGGTTCTTGCACAATTCAAAAGTTAATGTATATATAATTTTCATCATATCCTGTCAGCATTCATAGCTCTCAACTCAGATTAGTAGCATATAATTTGAGCAGGAAAATTAAGGAGAAATACATGGTGGGTTTAAAATCAGAAATGGCACTTATTTATGATAATATTTGCAGCTTTTCCATCTAAGTACCCACACAGATTGCACATACTCCCACAGAGATGGAAATAAATATGTGAAATACCTGTGCAGCTTGAGTGTCACAGTTCCATAAACAGTAGCAAAGCCCAGAAGACGAACCCATCTTAGGAGAACACAGCGAAATATACTTGGCTCAAAATACAAAATGACAACCTATAGAACAGAAAGGTAGAGAGAGCTTCAGTACTGCTTTCATGAGAAAGTAGTTCTTCATTCAAATGCAGAATAGTTGCAAAACAGGACAGCAGACACATTTCAGCTCGTACTGCTGTATATTTAGATTTTCTAGTAAAGCATTGGGATGATCAGATCAACCAGCTGGCACAATTCTAGGCACCAACTCCTTTTTGAAGAGAGCTGGCAAAAACCCTGTGACAGACTGTGAAGTGACAACACTTTTAAATGCAATTCCACTGACTTTTCTTAACTGAGTGAAAACATGTACCAGAGAGGAGGATAGAACAGACAAAGACTTTTTCCTTGAGCAATTCAAGTGACATGCAGCTGGTTTAATTCTGGTTTGATAGGCTGTATTTACAAGGTTACACTTCAAAGTTACTCCTAATAAACCTAACAAAATGGTATCTGCTCATTTTTCTCTGCCAAAATAAAAATAATTGCACTGGCCTCTTTCTATCCAAAGTATGAAATATTTCTGACACATTTAACTCTTTCTTTGCCATATATTTCACTTAAGCTATATCAAATCTCCCTGTGCATCACTAATTTATTAAGGAAAATAACCTTTTTGTTCACCTATGCTTTTCTTTAACCACAATAAAAAAATGTCCTACCAGCCTTTTGCCCTGTCTGCCAAGGACCCTGCACAAGGACAACACTCCATAAGCAGTCAAAGAAAGCTACTTCTGTAGGTATAATGCATATAGAAGCTTCACTATCAAGTAAAATACTATTCTTCTCTAAAACAGGGTTTCTCAGTAAACTCAGTCACAATTTTAATCAGGAGTACATTTCTTCATTCCAGCAGACATTGTCCCTGGTGTCCTGAGTGTTGATTCCATACTCCTTCTCACTTATCTGGTCCCACTAGTGATAGTAAAAGGGTTTTAAAATCATGGGGATTTAGGGTTAACAGGAAAAAAAGCTTAGTAGGCCCTGGAAAAATAAATACCTTAAGCACTAGTACTTGCTAGAACTGCACTGTGTAGCTAGTACATGATAAATGATATAATTGTTAGACGTGATGACTGTTTAGTAATTATATATAATTACTGTTTAATCATAAGAATAATCATGAGATACTGTGGTCAGGGACCTAAGAAAGATCACAAGAAACTCATGTCAATGTATACAATAGAACAATATAAGTTTAATAATTAATATGTAAGTTATATAACGATAGAATATAAAATACGTTCAGCTCGAAAGCCATGTCAGAGTCAGATTTGGGTCTGTACCCCTGATTCCCAGAGCTCTTAATAAAAGCACCTGCATATAATCATATCCCATGATGATGTGTGTTTCTGAACGCTAACACTAGGATCCTGCTGTCCCAGGAATTTGTTGGAAAACTGCCCCTACCATACATGTAGACCCTGCTTGGTCCTGAAAACTTAGATCCCATGCATTCAATGTGTCTGACCAAAACCTGGTAAAACAACCCAATGCACCATAGTAAAAATCAACTAGGTAATCCTGGTCTAGAGAAAGCAAGCACTGAAACATTCCAGGCCATCTGTCACAGCTTCATTTACAGTCAGTACATTCTGGCAGAAGAGATAGTATTGTGTCTACTGGCTGCCACATATTATTTTCCTAAGTAAATGCTCTACTGCGTGGGAATTCAAGTTCAGGATATTGGCCAAAAGCCCAGGACTACATCCTTTGGGTGACATAGACTTCTTTAGAAGAGTAGGGGCAAAAATGGCAGATGTGGGCTGGGAGAGATGGAAGCTGCTGTGCTTCACTGGAATGCTTTTTTATACAGCAGAATCAAACTATTCCTTTTAAAAATATGATTTGCTGAATCAAACTGTGCTGCAAAATTTTATCTCCTTTTTTCCACTGTTATTAGACTGATATGGAATTACAGAATATACTGAGTTATAAGGGATCCACAAAGACCATCAAGTCTAACTACTGGCAATGCATAAGACCCCCCCCAAGAAACACACCATGTGCCTGAGATATTGTCCAAATGCTTCTTGAACTCAGGCTGGTGCTGTGACCACTGCCCTGTGGAGTCTGTTCCACTGCCCAACCATCCTTTGGGTGAAAAACTTTTTCCTGATTTGGCATGCTTCAATGTAGATATTTTCTGGGATTCTGACAAACTGCCCATGTAAGAAAGGCAGCAGCTTTTCTCCTTGGAAAATCAGCTGGAAACCAAAATACATCCACATATGCATGACCATGTTTAGGCTAACAGAGCATCCAGCAAAAAGTTTCTCAGGAAGACCTGAATGGCAGCAATGACCTCTTATCCTAATATACTGTTATATAGATTAGGACAGTTGCAGAACCTGAGTAGTCTGTAGCAGTAACTTGTCTCCTGAGTTTGCTAAGGGGTAGAAAACACCATGTTTCATCTTTGATTCTTTCAAACAAGAAAATCAATGTCCAAAAAAGACTGGCATACAGAGACTCTGAACATTTCAAAGTTTATTTGAAAGCAGAATTTTTCAGATAATTGAAATGGGAAGGTCTGAAAACTCTCCAGGCACAGAATTTTCTGAACAAGGGTAACAGCTCTCTTTGCCATGCAGTCTGACACAGCAATTTCATCTGCTGCTCCTTGTTGAAACATTAACTGCGTGTGTCTAGAAAATTTCACTGATTTGCATTGAATCATCTGTATGAGCAGCTGAGGCATTTGGCTAGATATCAGCCAAGAAACCACCACTTCAAATGCAGCCTGGTGTGAGCTGGTGTGACAGCCCACTGTGAAGGCTGTAGCGGCAAGGCTCTGTTGGAGAAAACTGTTCTCATTTTCCCATTGAAATAGACACATTTTAACTTCTCCTTCACTGCCATGATGAAAAATACTGCAGAAGTAAGATTTCATCCAAGTTTGAATCTTCTGTGTTTATACGATGGAGAATCCTAACAGTGCCTTCACAAAAGTCAGTGTCCATTTCTGCCTATTCTTGCACATGGTCTGTCATGGATCCAAGCTTTGAAGAGCCAGAATTGCTATATGTACATTTTGCTTTCTTCTTAGGCATTGCAGAAGGTTATCCTAAGCATATGTCATTCCCATTCCCATTAGGGTTCACCAGGATGTTCAGGTGACTGCCCTAAGCTCTTATCAGAATTACATTGATTTATAAACACCATGAATTTTAGAGGCACAATTTTTAAATGGAACAATCTTTAATGGATTGGAGCCAAGGGGCTACAAAAACACTGCCCTAGAAGCCTTGCTCAATTTTAAATGCAAGAGGAATACAATTCTTGCAAAGAATCTGGTCCGAAGTATGACTGCTACACTCCAATCCTCACTCTCCCTAGCAAAAAAACCCCCGAAAATCAACAAAAAACACAACAAAAGCAAAAAAACCCCAACAAAACAAAAAACAAAAACCACAAAACCAAATAACAAACAATAACAACAAAACCAAACCAAATAAAAAAAAAAGAGGAACATAACACAGAAAAGTCTTGGATTTGTTTCATATCAGCCTCTTCTACCTTATCAAAATCCCCATTCCTTAGTGTTATCCCAGAGCTAAGTCTTCTTCAAGTGACAGCAAATGTGCAGCACAAGGTTGCTGAGCTCCAAGTTAGGAGCTTAGGATGAACACCAGATTCACCCACACATCCAGGCTGCTCTCAGCAAAACAAGGGAATCCCTCAGTTCTAAAAGACTACCCTGCCCACCAAAAATCTGACAATATTTCATTTTCTCTTTTTGCATTTACGATTCAATAGACCATGATCTTCTTAAAAATGCTGGGAGGTTTTGCTGATGGGAGGAAACAAAACATCTTTACTCTACATAAAGAAATGTGTTATCATCGGTTTTGCCAGCTCCTGGCATGCACTAGACATCAGTTTCTGCTACTTAAAAAAAGATCTGGGGAAAAGTATTTGGAAACTAGAAGATAAGCCAAACAGTGGCTGTTCATGTCCCAGTTACTGCGGCTGTGCGTGAGACTTCACGAACTGTGACTCGTCTTTGTCATTTGGACAAACATGTTTAGATGTTTGCTTTTAAACTCAACGTGGTTTGAGCTATTACTATCCTTGCCAAAACATTGTGCCAGCAGTCACGCTAGCACTTGTGGAGTCAGAGATGAAAAGACTTCCTAAGGTCACCAGCTAACTGTCAAGTGTGTTTAGAGCTGCAGAATTACAGACACAGAAGAGGGACTTAACCTGCTGACACAGCGATCAGCCAGCTCAGTTATTCATCTGACATGAAGAACAGGCACACACACACACTCTAAAGACAGCAGCTGAAGTCAATAAAACACCTCACACATTACAGCAAATTTTCATCATTGGAACAGGTAGGAAAGTAAAAGTGCAATGAGAACACAGAACAATTGAACATTCAAAAACATAACAGATTACATCTACACACAAAAAAAAGGGGGGAATTAATGAGTTTTATAGCCTCAGTGCCATTGCTTCTTAAAAGATAAACAGCATTTAGAAAGATTCTTAAAAAAAAAAAAACCACCTTATTACAGCCCTATAATATTAATAATGAGCAAAACTGTACATCACAAAATGCTCTTTTGTCTTTCAGGTTAACTTTACTGTGCACATTAAAAAATGTTTAATTCTGCCCTTCACCTTGGCACTAGATCCAGGCAAAACTACTTGAATACTGTGCACTTCCCCAAGGTGCAGTGACTGGGAATCAATCTGCCTAAATCAAACATATGATTTCTTCCTACACTGTTTTAAGGGGTCTAGTAAATCAGGCCTACTAATGCAAATTTCAGATAACCCAGGGATAAAAACAAGAACCTTGAGAAAGTTCAGCTGCAGCTGATTGGACAGGAGCTTGGCCTAAAGGCTTCAAGTACACATGTCCATTGACTAGAAAGGCACTACAGCATTTGTTTTAGGGCATATGCTTCATTATATGTCAATTAATAATCTGTATTAGGAGGACTAAGCCAAGCACTTTATAGCCAGCTGTAACAATTTTGTAATGTATTTAAGACAAGCACTTTTTACTT